CTACTTCTATCGTTTAACCCTTGATGTTTTCCGTTTACCCGCCGTATCTTCCGTTTGCCCGACTGTATTTCTACCATAGTTTCCGTTTCTGCGCCGAATCTTCCGTACCCGCCATATCTATGTATCTATCGTTGAACCCACGATGTCTTTCGTTTACCAGCCGCATCCATCACGTTTCCCACCATACCTTCCCGCTGTATCTTCCATTTACCCGCCGTATCTCTTGTGCAACCCACGTGCATCCCACGACGTCTTCCTGCGCCCGCCGAATCTTTTAACCCGCCGTGCCTCCCCTTTGCCCTCCCACTTCTTCTTCCGTGCGCTCGCCACGTGCTTTCCTCAGATCACGAAGGAGGAAGAGCGAGTGGATACGGTGTGTATGCGGGAGAACCCGTTCTACGTGAACACCGTCCGGGCTTTCCGCGACCGCCGCTACGACTACAAGGTGCGCCGTGAATCGGCTGAAGCCACCCTTGATTCCGCGGGGGAGTGGGGGGGTGCGGTCAGACTATCTACCTAAATAGCGGTTCTTAACTGATGGATGGATGAAAAAGAAAGGGCGAAGCGGAACACTTCATGAGCAGTCAAGGTTTTTGAAGAGAATACGCGGGTATACTGTAGATAGATTTAAGACGGAGTCGTTGTTCAATCCCAGTACGTCGCGGCCGCGTTGCATCAGGCCATGAAGCGACACAGGGGGGGTAACCTTGTTGAAGCAATGATTGCGAGCCTGACGGAGTGCTGCACGTACTTTTCCAGATCCATGCCGAAAGATCTGTGTGACAATATCTGAGGATCATCTCAACGGCACTTCAAAAACAGAAAACGCGAAGAAAAACTATCAATAGGTGCAGACCATACACACATTGTCTCAAACACGAGGACACGTTTAAAACTACGTGATCATTTGACAGTACTTCTAAACAGGAGAGCACCGTGAAAAGTAGGTGCAGATCATCACGAAGGACTACAGAATGAAGAGTTAACTACGATAGGCAAGACCCCGGCACGAACAATAGAAGTATAACGTAAGGAGTACAATGCAGAAAGACGCACAAGGTTTACCACAGCAGTTTCAACAGTACGTCCACATCATTCCAAAAACGAGCGAAAGAAACAAGAAAAACTCAGGAAATGCGGTCCAATGCTCTCGACGATGACAATGCACGAAGGTAGGTCAGGACGAAGAACGCTGAGAAGGCCACGTCGAAAGACGAAATGAACCGTACCACTCGGGAAACACGGTGCAAATGCTCTTGACAATGACGGCGAACGAACATAGATCACGACCAATGCTCCTGATGGTGACGATGAACGAACGTAGATCATATGACGAATGCTGTTGACGATGGCCACGAACAAATCAACGTAGATCCTGACGAAGAAGGCTAAGAAGGCCAAGTCGAAGGCGGCCGAGGAGGGGGATGCCGTCGGCGCCAAGGAGGCCGGGGACAGGGCCCAGGTGTTCGACTCGCTGCAGCTGGCCCACAAGTGCATCCTTAACTCGGTGAGTTTGCTGTTGCTGCTGTTGTTGTTGTTGTTGTTGCGTTAGCTGTGGTGGTGATCTTCATGTGACTGCTGTTATTGTGGTTGCTGTTGGATGTGGTGGTGTTGCTGTTGGGTTGGTGGTTCTGGTGGTGGTGGTGTCGCAAGGTTTATAGAGCACAGCGGTGTGATGACGGAGTGATGCAAGGTGAAAAATGCAGGCAGCAGGACCCGCCCACAGATGGCTGCCAGCTGCCGGTGGTAGCAATTCCCAAGCGTAGCGGCTGACATAGTTGACGTGTTTGACTCGAAGAGCCTGGCGAACCTCAGCGAAACCAAGAATATATATTTACAAACTCCACACGGTCTCACTCTTGTAAGTCTCCCATAGTAATGTTCAATGGAACGTTAATTTTTGTTCGTTCCGCCCCCAGTTCTACGGCTACGTGATGAGGAAGGGCGCCCGCTGGCGTTCGATGGAGATGGCAGGCATTGTTACCTACACGGGGGCGATGCTCATCAAGCAGGCCCGCGAGCTGGTTGAGCAGGTATTTTATTTAGTGTTCCGAGAGCCTTTCAGAACTGCTATTTCGAAAACCATCTTGCGTGTCACAACCAAACGAAGCAACCCAATATGGTGCGGGATCGTACTCCTCGGCAGCGAAAGGCACTATCAACTTGCGTGTCACAACCAAACGAAGCAACCCAATATGGTGCGGGATCGTACTCCTCGGCAGCGAAAGGCACTATCAAATCAAACTCGAGAAGTTTGTTCTATCGTTATCTTCGTGCACGGGAAATACATAGTACGCCGGAAACAAACAACTGGTGAATATATCATTGCTATTCAGCAGGCGACAAGCCGCTTCCCGAATTTAGGCTTGCCTTGCATGCGGCTTGAGATAACGGCGTTTTGGTTGCGGGTGCCGCCGGGAGGGGGCGGCAAGCTCGTTGTTTCACCCCGAACAAGAGATCCCCGCTGCAACATTCGTGCCGAGCTGTTTGAGCACCGTGCATCTGTGCGGCTGTTTTTCGTGTTTTCACCTTTTTCGAAGTTCGCAACGCGGTGTGAATACTTGAGGCCAAACAGCGCTTTTGGGGATTCATGGTGTGCTTGGGATGAATGAAGCAAAAGGAGGCGCGTGTTTCGTCTCATGTATCTACAAGTATGCATGAGGCATATTGTGGAGCAAGTACACGGTTCTGTCGGCCTGCCTGTACGTTCGTGCATATGCGGTCGTGTGTAACCTGAAAGCGTTTGCATGCTGCATGTCAGATCGGGCGTCCTCTGGAGCTGGACACGGACGGGATCTGGTGCATCCTGCCCTCCTCTTTCCCGGAGAACTTTACCTTCACGTGAGATAATACTTGTACAAATATGCACCCCAAGAAATCTTCCATGGATATTTACGGCCCTTTGCGGTTGGTGATGATGATGAGCATGATGGTCGTTGTTGGTCTTGATCTTGATGATGATGATGCTGTGGTTGTCGTTGTCGTTGTGGTTGTTCAGATAGTGATAAAATGGTTGTAGACGTTTGATGCTGTCGTGGTTGGTGAATGATGATGTAGTTGTTGCTGTGGCTGTCCGGATACTGCGCGTGCTCCTGCAATCCTCGCACAAGACACGTGCTGCACAGAGTCCAGTTTAGCGTAGCTCAAGTCGATTGGCCTGCATCTCAACTGCCTACCCCCTCCGTCCCCCTCGGCAGGACGAAATCCGGAGGAAAGATCCGGATCTCGTACCCCTGCGTGATGCTCAACGCGGATGTCCACGAGAACTACACCAACCATCAGGTCTGTTGGGCATATGGAAGAAGAAATGGAAAATCATGCTTCGTGTTTTTTGTCACATGTCTTGCACACTGTGTAGGATACCGGACATCCGGTCCATTCACGTCATCCTACGTCTTTGTGTTGTGGTTACCCCTCGGGCTATCACGTTCTCACTTTTCAATACCTCGAATGAGACCTATTTAGTACGGCGGTGTCGTTTCTTTTTTCCGGTCCGCCGCCTTTCTTTTGCCCACGTTCCTCACAGTCGTGGGCAGCACATGGGCCGATATCACTGATGTCTTGCACGCTTTAACCCTAGCACACACTTTCATCCCATTTCATCCTGGATCTAAGCTTTTTACCCACGTACAGTCTACGCGGAACCCCGTTCCACACCCCGTTGTTTTCATTCTCTTCCTCCCTTGCCTCTTTTCATCTCTGAGAAGGGGTTCTGGAAAACCCTTGTTTCCCTGTCGCTGGTATTATTGTTTTGTATCCAACCGTTTTGACCCTCTCTCCTCGCAACTGCAATTAACTAACTGTCATCAATTTGTCCTTCTTTTTGTCCGTCAGTACCAAGACCTCCAAGACCCGGCCACGCGCAAGTACAACACGAAGAGCGAGTGCTCCATCTTCTTTGAGGTGGACGGGCCCTACAGGTGCAGAAAACGCCCGCACTTGCAAACCTCTATTACATTACAGTTTCGGCCGAGGATATGTCTCTTAATTCCTACAAGGGTCATGCTACGAATGGTCGCTATATAGGTTTTAGTTTTAAGGGTCCTTATCCGTGCTCACAAAAGGTGATGGAGTTTTAATTTTTTTTTTGCGGCTCATTTTCTTAACTCCTGGATATTGGGTGCGAGCGCGTTATGTAGTACATACGTGACGAAAACAAACCGAACAAAAACATTTCTATGCTAGCCAAACGATGTGTTGCACACCCAACACATCACACAAGTAGTTACTATTTTTGTTATTTGTTGGGGAGTCGGGAAATCGGGCGAATCGTTTATTTTTGGGCGTTCGAGGCGGCAGGGCCCTTCAAGCTGTGCTTTTTCACTGGACCTAATTTTTTTCCAGAATGCTTTTTGCCTTGGCGAAAAAACGACAGCAATTGAGACAAACTGCGCAAATATGAATGAATGGTGTGCATTCAATCAAACCTAGACAAAGTGTCTTTTGTCCAGACAAACATAGCAGTCGTGTAGCAACTTGAATACAACGTACCCTCCCTACCCGGGCTAAGAAACGAAATTGTAATTGAGCCCCGATCATCCTTACAACAGGTGTATTCACGATCGCCCCACGTGAACGTTCGTTCCGCTTCGTACAAGCCTACCCAAGGCGAACATCTCCATCTTCCCGGATTGATGCTGGGTGTATGTTGCTCCCTTAAAGAGGGCAAGCTGCTGAAGAAAGCGCTATGGTCAATGGTCTAACACCTAAGGCATGCAAACATAAGGACGCCCCCTCCCTCCCGATCTATGATAGGTGCATGGTGCTCCCCTCGTCCACTGAAGAGGGCAAGCTGCTCAAGAAGCGTTACGCGGTGTTCAACCACGACGGTTCTTTGGCAGAGCTCAAGGGTTTCGAACTGAAGCGCAGGGGAGAGCTGGAGGTCATCAAGGTTTTCCAGTCCCAGGTGAGGCGTCCTTGCGCTCGGAAGCTTCCATTTGTTGTTGTCATGGTTATCAGTTGTTTTTGTCGGTGATTGTGGTGGTGGTCGTGCTGTTGTTGCTGCTGTTGCTGTTGCTGTTGCTGTTGCTGTTGCTGTTGCTGTTGCTGTGGCTGTTGCTGTTGCTGTCACCGCTGCTGCTGTTGCTGTTGTTGTTGCTGTTGATGTTGCTGTTGCTGTTGCTGTTGCTGTTGCTGTTGCTGTTGCTGTTGCTGTTGCTGTTGCCGCTGCTGCTATTGTTGCTGCTGCTGCTGTTGCTGTTGTGGCCGTCTGTGTTGATGATCCCTACGGAATCCTTTCGTGTATGGTGCGAGGCCCCTTGCCATCCTTAGACGGTGTTCGGGGCGGTTGTTTGCATGTTGGAGGCTGCATGTTGCGGTGTGCGTCGTACTCCTGACGCTCTTTTCTCGCCTCGAGCTTGCCTGCCCCGGGATACAACAAACC